GATTCCTGATCCTCCACGGACGGGTTTGTCGTTGGATTGCCAACTTGAAGGGGGAGGATTTGCCATCGAACTTCTGGCTAGAGAAAAAAAAAACATGTAATATGTAGCCAACATTTTAAAGAAAAATGTTTTCAAGATGACTTGGATAATAGTGCGTTATGACAAACACCAGATACAGCACTGGGACTTGCTCAACAGCCGATACCGCACCGTGACGTCACAAACCACTAGATGGCAGTAGCGTTCTTTGACAAACATTATTGTTTATTGAACAGTATATAATAATTTCCTATTTAAAGTACTTTCAGAAGTTTGAATTCTGAATATAACTGGACTTTTCCTTTATATCCTGTTTTTTTTAAGGTGATAGAAAGCTGAATTTTGTTATTGTCCTCATGTGTCATTGAATGTTCAGGTCTGGGTCAACCACTCTTCCCAGATTTTGAGGCTGAACGGTGGTTTCTAGCAGGATTAACTGAACTTGTCTGCTAACTTTCAAACAACTTTTTTTGGTTAAAAAAGTATCACTTCAGTTAAGATTTTATTTAGCAGAAGAAAATGCTGAGACCTCCATGCATTGATTTCTTTAATGTGATGACCCAGAGTTTATAGCCACATGGTGACATCATAATGTACAGCTGTGTGTTGCCTGCCGAGTTGGGGTAACTGATGATGTTACAATCTGGGTTAGGGGGAGTATGTAGGTTTTGAATAGCAAGGGCCCCCTGATGGAACGTTTGGGACTGCCGCTTGTGCTTCTCTGGTGTAAAGTTACTTTCTGACACAGAGAAATCACTGACCTTACAGCAGGACTCTGAATTCTGATCTAAGATTCGATAATACCAGCAATGCGGTTCTTCCACTTTCTCTATTTATACATATATCACTAAATACCCTGCCAAGGGTAGCCTCTGTACTGTGGTGATCAATATATTTTTTCAATTATTCTTATTATCAGCTAAAGTCATCAAAAGTCGGGACTATTCTCTATTTTACCATAAAAAATATGCAATAGGAAAAAAAACATAAATCAGATACGAACAAGGCATTTATGCCTGTGCTTTCTAATCATGAGCAAATACCCACAAAGCAAAAGAAAACATTTTTTTCCCAGCGTTTTATTGTCATTACACTGTCACAAGTAAAGAGCAACAAAACTAACTCGCTGCATTTAACCCATCCCCTTGCAGAGCAGTGGGCTGCCATTGTGCGGCGCCCTGATCCAAACATGGATCTGGTCTCTCATCCAGCAGAGGAGATTTTTCTTACAATTGTTTTACATGTCAAAGAACTGCTGGAAAGAAAAAAATTAAATCTGTAATGAACACAAAAAAGGTGTAATGACAAATTTGACAAAATACCTACATTAGTTTATTATTTCTATATCATCTAAAAAATGTATATTATATGTTTGTTAGTGCAGTAATTTACCACTCCTACTAAATGTTTGAGCAGCACATTTAAAAGCAGCCTCACTGCTGATAAACTGAATGCACAGAGAGAGGTTTCAGGTCTACTTTCTTGTCTAAATATAATAACATATTAAGGATTGCAGGGGTATAATTGTGTCTATTAATCCTCTCCATTCTCTGCTGCTGCTGGTGATACATTGCAGGACACATTACTACACAGAACCCCTCCTGTTCTCTAAGGGTAAAGACCCACCTCCAGATCACCTCCAAAGTCTCCCTCATAAAATATCTCCATTAGATGATACAGTAGAAGCCATTCAAAATGTTCCCACTTTCCTTGATGGGTTCTTTGCTGGTTCCCTACAATTCCTTTATAATTTTTGACCATAATTGATTTATGGACATTAAGATCTAAAAAGAAGATTCGTCTCCCTGTAATTCAGTAAAAGGGTGGAGTCAGAGTAAAAACATATACACTCCCTGGAGAAGGAGGGGCTCACTACAGTGGCTGGAAGTTTAAGGGGAATTTGGTGGGAGTTGCAGGGAAGTCTGCCTCCATTCGGCTTATATTTGACTGGGAAGGGACATTTTGAATGGCTGCTACTGTATCTAGTGAGAGCTACAGACTCATAGGTGCGATATGAGTTTTTGGAAGCGCAAAAAAATTCACCGATGTTACATTTAATCTGAAGGACTGAAGCTAAAACCTTACTGCCCTCTGCTTCCTCCTCAAATGCTCTGTTCTGTGTTTGAAGATTTATCATCCGATAAATGAAGTCCTGTGTTTACATTTTGGTTAATTCTATTTTATTTGTATTTATCTATGCACTGTTCTGGAAAAGTCTTTTTTTTTCATGTTTACGCAAAGAAGTCACGATTTTATCACGCTGTTAACCGAACCTGAATTTGCTGAAACATAACGGTTTTGGTTCATTTATGTAACTTTGAAAATCTCCATAGTCTTTAAAACGTTGCAAGAGAAAGGACTATCGTTTTAGCTGCTGGTTATAGACAAAACTTTACGTGAGTGAAGTGTTATTTTTGTTTAAGGCCTTCAAGGGGACTTTTAATTGTATGCTCAAAATAATCGTCTTGTATCCTGGTGCGTTGATTGTAGTATTTCATCTTTAAAGCAGCTGGAACCTCTGCTTTGAATAATTCAAGCTTCTATAAAAATCAGATTTTATTTGTATAGATTATTTTGAACCAAAGCTGTGAGTTTATCCTTTGATTAAACGTTCCAGTTGACTTGAACTTTTCTCTTTGTATTTTTTCTTTCAACTTTGTATCTCCTTTGGATAAAACTATGGATTAAAAACAAACTGCGTTTGCTTGAACGAAGGCAGATCACTCAAGCAAACTCTTTGTGAGGTTTGATGCCTGTCCTACAGGATGTGGTTGTTCATAGTCCTACCTCAAAAAAATTAAAATATATCTAACATCATTTCAGCTTTTAGGGTTACACTAGTTAAAACTGTCCCAGGATAATCCTTCCCTCTGGTATAGTTTATCTTCTCTGTGGCTGATACAGTACGTATCTTAATACACCCCTAAACAAGAAGTCCTGCTATAGAGGACTACTGCTCGCCAAGGACAGGTCCAAACTGCAAAAGAACAATTAGGGCTGCAAAGAGGTCATAGGGAACCAACTTTCCCTCCATCTACAACCGTTACAAGTCTAGGGCAGAGGCATAACCATAAAATTTTAATAGGGGTGGCCAGGCATTAACCAAAGTACACTCAGGGGTGGCCGAAAGCGGATAGGCGCCAGAACCTCAGGGTTAATCTACACTGGAACGAGCACAACATCCATATTTTCTAAATAAAGACAAACTATACTTTCCTACAGCCTTTGCTAACAAATAGACGCATATATTAAAACATCTATGCTGTCTAAATAAAAGGTATAATGGAAAAAATTTCTGGGGTGAACATCTTTTCCATTGTCACTACCTACCTTCTTTTATCAAAAATTGTTCTGCATAAAATCAATATTTACATGTACTAATATCTACATTAAATGGATGATTTTTAAGTTAATAACGTAGTTATTTATCTATGATTTCACTGGAGACTCCTAGATGACTTGCATTACCCCATATAAAACAAAATGTAGCTCTGAAGAGAGCATGAATTCTGTAATTAATCAACTTTAATGTTAGTATTTTGATGTGCATAATTAACCACAGTGTTTTAATTGTCAAGTAATGTCAATGTCAAATTTATTCATATAGCACTTTAAAAACAGGTATAAAACTGCACCAAAGTGCTTTACAGGAAAGACAACAACACCAATTAACAAAACAGAATGTAAAACACTGCTTCAATTAAAAGCCGAAGAATAGAAAAAAATTTAAGAAGCGATTTAAAATGATCTAGGCTGTGGCCAGATTTAATTTGAAGAGGTAAATTGTTCTAACCTGACAACAGCCAGATGCATGTCTCGCTCCGCCTAGCTCCGTGGAGCTGGGCGGAGCGAGACATGCATCTGGCTGTTGTCAGGTTAAAATTGTTCCACAGAATTGAAGCAACAACAGAGAAGGCCCGATCTCCTTTCCTCTCAAGTCGAGTCCGAGGATCTGTCAGTATTAGTTGATTATTTGAACGTAGACTTCTTGACACAGACTGGAATTTTAAAAGGTCTCTAAGGTAAGGAGGAGCTAATCCATTTAAGACTTAAGTTAATAAAATAATCTTAAAATCTATTCAGTAAAAGACAGATAGCCAATGTAAAGAGGCAAGTATCAGCCTTATATGGTCACACTTCCTGGTTCCTGTAAGAAGCCGAGCCACTGCGTTCTGGATCAATTGAAGTCACTGCATCTGTGATTTGTAATTGTTAATGTATGAAAAATGTAAATGTTTAATAAGTGGAATATTCCCCTTGAGAGTAGTACTGTTGCCACCATCTGTATTAGAGGGAAATAAATGGTAGGGTGGCCGCAGGGGTGGCCATGGCCCCCCCATCTAGCTCCGCCCCTAGTCTGGGGCCATCATAAGAGCATCCAGCATTTCTGCTAACACATCTTGCACAGAGCCCTTTTTTAAAAAGTGTTATGATAAAAGAAATGGGGGCCATTTGTTTACCTGGGCTGTATCTGTTGAACTAAACGAGTTCTCACTGCCAGGATGGTCATCTAGATTCCAGAAGAAGTAATGTGTTTGCATAACTATCTGTCTTCCTTTTTTATCTATTCAAAAATCCAGACTTACATGTTTTTTTTTTAAAGCAAAGTACGGCTGTAATGAATCGTTGATTTATATTAGTGATGGAAAACCTATGTCGAAATTCCTTGTTTGTGCAAAGAAAAGTGGCATTTCAGATTTTGAATTTTTACTAAAACAATAACCAATGTTATTCCTCAAATTGCTCAAATTTGTATATATTTAAAGTAGATGTTTTGTTTTTTTGTCTGCCTTGTCTACTTGAACGTGAGTTGCTGCATTCCTTTGTGAAAACTGTATTGATTTTTTTCCTAAGTAAATAAAAAAGTACAGCGGACACCAAACAACCAACACCCACTTTTTTTTTATAGCGGTCACGTGACAGCACATCTATGCGCTGATTGGTTGAATTCTTTCGAGGGTGTGGTTTTCAGTGGAGTTTGTGATAGAAGAAGAAGACCGCAGAAAAGAGGGGAAACGATTAAAAGGAAAAATGTCTTCAGTTCCAGATGGAAAGAAGCTTGTCCGCAGCTCCAGCGGCCTCAGAATGGTTCCAGAAAACGGTGCCTTTAACAGCCCGTTCTCCCTGGACGAGCCTCAGTGGGTCCCGGATAAAGAGGTGAGACAGTTTTTGACGGCCAAATGCCATGTCAAGTGTTTACTCATGTATGGAAAGCTGTCGGTGATGATAAACGGGGCACTTCCGGTTAGTATTTTCAACATATTTTGAAGTTATTTGATAAGTAGAACAAATAGTTTATTATCCCACATAGCTATAAATAGACTTAGTGTTTAAGCTGCAACATGGTTGATGGTTTTGAAACAAATTGATAAATGAAATAATTGTGTAGTAAATATGACATTTTTAGAGGCGTAAAATTTGTTAGATTGGCATAGAAAGTAATAGCTACGTTGGATACATTTCTTCATTTATGTCTGTTATTAAGTCTTTACTTAAACAATGATTAAAACATGTGGGTGTTGAACCATTAGGATCAGTTGTATTAAAATGGGATCCAATCTTTCTCAGGGTCTTTAGTGGCGCAAGTGGCTTTTGAGCTAATTTTATATATGAAATGATGATATAAAACATTTTTTTGTTTTTTGTGTTTTTGCTTTGTTTTGCCCCCTTGGTAAGTCTAGAACCGACGCTGGCTATGATTATTTGTGCCTCCATCGCAAGCAAAAGGTAGACTTTTTATGAGCGCTTTTCGCTCTAAGATATCCTGCTTTTATTTTGGTGGGGACACTCTGCCATATCCGGTTTTTTCTCCCGATCCGCTGCCTACGTGACGTCTTTCTGGACAACAGCAGTTGGCTCCAGAACTGGGCGTTGCGGGCTGCTATGGCTAGTCTGGTAACAGTAGAAGTTTGTCAGCCCAGCTTCAGCTAGCCGTTGACAGCTGGTCCACATTCACGAAGGAGATTGTTAAAGTACAACTCTGAATGTGTATCACTCAACACATCGCTGAGAGCTAAAAGCTAACCAGCGGCTAGCTCCCATATAAACAAACGTCCGACTCTTTTGTCAACAGAAGCACAGACAGCCAAACACTATTTGCTGAAGTTCAGATTCCACATAAAGTTAATTTTCAACTTCAATCTCTGTTTTGATGCGTCTGTTTGGTTGCCTCTATACTATAAGCATTTTCCCCAGGATGAGGGAAAAGAGAATAATTTTCAGATGAAAGGGGAAACTTTCACAGAACAGAAAAAAGCTAAAATATTGTGTTGATATTGTGTGACTAAAAGCCTGAGCTGCTGTTTGCAGAGAATCTGCTCTGCTCAGCATGTTGTGTAACATCCTGTTTTTCCTCCCTCTGTCATCCAGTGTCCAAGATGCATGCAATGCGACACCAAATTTGACTTCATCAGAAGAAAGGTTTGTTTAGTTTTTTTTTCTTTCTGCAAATATGTGCTTTATAGTGCACTTCTTGTCCATAAAGGCCTGATTGACTAATATTTGTCCTGTAAGCTTATTCCCCCACCTGAGCAATGCATCTCTGCTACTCCTCCAGAAACACCAGGGGGACGGTTGTTTGCTTCTTAAGGGCAGATTAGACTTTGGGTCGCGAACCAGTTTTACTGGTACGCTTCTGCACCGTTGGTCTGGAATTTCAAGGGATGTACAGCAGTTTCCCGCCAAAGCCCATGTTCTTATGTGCATTTGGTACGAATGATTCATTGGGGATAATACTTGCCAACTAGAAGCAAGCAGCAAATCTTGCCCCAAATTATGATTTAAACCTGTAGCTAAAATCAAAAGTTCCTCTGTTTACATCTATGGTTAAAACAACTTTTCCATATTTGTGCACATTGATTATGTTTTTGAACAATACTTTCAATAAAATGCCAACAGAATGCTCATAATACTAAGTGTGTCGTGTGTCTCAGTGCCACCAATGCTCCAGATGTTCAGAAAGCTCCAAACAGACAGCAGCAAACCTTTTCAAAACAGACTGTGCTAAGAGCAGTGTTTCCAACTTGGCGCTTCTGTCGCTATATTTAGCTCCTTTTCAGACCCCTCTAGCGTTTTGATTTTTTTTAAAAAACAGCTAGTTCCAAATCTAGCAACTTTTTTCTGCCACTGGAGACTTTGGCGAAAAGATATAAAAGCAGCGAACTCTGCTCTAGAGCAAGTAGATTGGTAACCCCGCCTCCTGCTGTCTGCTGTCATGATTCATGCAGCTGTTAATATTAAGTGCGTCTTATCCCCCCCCTCCTTTAGTGTCCTCAACATTGGATCAGTCCATTTGCTGCACATGTTCAGAAAGGTCCAAACAGACAGCAGCAAACCATTTGAAAACAAACTATGCAAAGAGCAGTGTTGCCAACTTAGCGCTTTTGTCGCTATATTTAGCCACTTTTCAGACCCCTCTAGCACTTTGATTTCAAAAAACACCTGGTTCCAAATCTAGCAACTTTTTCTGCTACTGGAGACTTTGGCGACAACATATAAAAGCAGCGAACTCTGCTCTCCTCTATCTTGTCTGCTGTCATGATTCATGCAACTATTATTTCATCCAAATGAAAAATGGAGAACAGATAAACAGATCATTGCTTGTCTACAGTGAAAAGAAGGACTGTGTTATTTACTTTTGCCGTCGCCTTTTTGGAAACACAGGAAGGAGCAATCAGCTAAGTGAGCTTAGTGCTTGAAAAAAAATCTTTCATTCCTTTTGAGACAGCATGAAAAGTCAGCTGAGTACAAAACATAAAGAGGGACAAAACGTAGAACAAATAATGTCTAATGTATTAAAATGTCTGCATCTGTGTAATGGGTCTGTTTTATGTGTTGGCCTCTCAATTCCAAGGGGGCCTGACTTTGCCTAGGGCCCAAAATTTCATAAATCCTCCCCTGATCTGGATCATCACTAAAATTGAATGGATTGTTCCTTTACAAAAGGGACACCTAATAAAAATATAATTACAATCTGTCCTTAAATTTTTAAGTTATCCTGTAGACAGAGATATGGATAAATATACATGCATACAAACTGTCCTACATAAAAACCTCCTTGGCGGAGGTACGTTTTCTGTACTACTACCTTTATGCTAGTTCCAGTATAAGTGGATGTCTAATTAATGCGTTTCTGTCGTGCAGCACCACTGCCGCCGCTGTGGTCGGTGTTTTTGTGATAAATGCTGCAGCAAGAAGGTGGCGCTGCCCCGGATGTGTTTTGTTGACCCAGTGAGGCAGTGTGCAGAATGCAGCCTGGTCTCACAGAAGGAGGTGGAGTTCTACGACAAACAGCTCAAAGTGCTTCTGGCAGGTAAAACGGATCTTGCTTATGAAGCTATTATTTATATGGGAGTTGTAGTATATCATGCATTTTAACTTTTTTTTTTTTTTTCTTTTTTTCCAAAGATGGAAAATGATACAAGTAGGGCTGAAAAAATTAATTGGATTGATCGCGATTAACCGATTATTTCAATAATCGTCAACTAATTTTGTAATCCATTAATTCTAAGTTCTAGCTGACAGAGCGACCCACTTAGAGCAGTGATTATACCAACATTGTTTTCACTTTTCAATACGCTCTATCCAGAAGTCCTCTAGTGGAAAAGTTTTAGTTTCACCTTGTTTACTTCTATAAAAAAATCTTCCTTAGGGAACCGTTTCTTTTCCGATTATTAATTAGAAAAATTATCAACTGGAAGAATAATTGTTAGTTGCATCCCTAGATATACGATTTATCCAGAGTACATTTTTAAAATGAACATTAGACAAACAAGTTGGAATTTCTATCAAACGTGGAAAGTATTTGCAATTTACAATTAATAATACAAAGTTAAATTTGACAAACTGCACCTCACTGTCATGCTTTCTGTTGCCTTTTCTGAGCTTCTGTCTTTACTTTTGACCTTCTGTGGGTAAAAAGTTATTGAGGTTTGATAGTTTCCTGATTCCGGCTCAGCTTTGAAGTATAGAGCCTGCATTTTTTGTATAGTTTCCAAAAGCCTGATGCTAAGCCACCTTATCTATTTCCAATATCATTTAGTACTGTAACTTGTATTAAGTTAGTCCTGTTGGGCTACATGTCTGGGTCCCAGTTTGGACCAACCAGCTGTTGAGTTGAGCAGAAGCTGAAGTTGAAAGCAATCCCTATTTTTTTCTTACTCTACCCAAATTTAGCTGTACATTCATACCCCTGGTAACCAAAACAGCCCATAGCATGATACTTCCACTGATATGTTGGTAATTCATTTATTGTTCTTGAGTTTTAAGCCTTACCTGGATTTCTCTAAATATGTTCATCTTGGGACCAAATAACTAAATAATTGTCTAGTTGTTTTTCCCTACATTTTTTTTTTTTACAGTAATCTTTCCCTCTAGTACGTGTATTTTATTGGTTCTAAATGTGACACTTTAACCAGGAATTCATTCAAATTAGTCTTTGAATAGTCATAAAAGTCCTAAAAACTTCACATACTTGAGCCTCGAGAAGTATTAAACTTTTCAATTATGAATTGTAACACTTTTGTTTTGGATTGGAAGCTTTATTAAGAAAGACTAAAGAATCGAAATGTGGTACTTTTGTACCTATTTAGTTATTTTTTTTTACTTACAACTAAAGTGTTTTTACATTTAACATGGACAGGTTATAGCCACCTGTGTCCCAGTGGGAAAGATTTTAAACTTATAGTGTCTATTTTTTTTTTTCCAGGAGGTACCTTTGTTGTCACTTTGGGAACATCAGACAAGTCAGAAACCATGACGTGCCGCCTTTCCAACAACCACAGGTAATCCAGCAGTGAAGGTACGGCTAAGACAAGGACTGGACATTTTACAATCAATGGCGGAAGTTAGAAAAATTAGGGTCTAAAAGAAATTTAGATCTATTAAATCCACTGACCTTCGATTTATGTTTCTCATCCATCTATGTTCGGGTTAGTTTTGGCCGTTAGAGGAGAGAATAAACTGAAGGTATGAAGTTTATTCTTCCAAAAACTGCTGGTGTGTGTGACATAACTTTATTGACAAAATTATCAAGTAAACAAGAAATAGTGTTCAAATGGTTCTACAAAAGGCAGTGATATATATAAAAGAGATTGAAATCTAAGTATAACGTAAAGCTTTGAATTTCTATATGTTTTAAAACAAGATGATTAAAAAAAGATTTTAAGTTTAGAGGAATTTCCCAACTTCCAATGTGCCTGGCAGTTTATTGCATATATTGCATATATATTTGCAATATAATCACAATTTAACATGATCTCATAGGGCAGAGGTGCTTAATGTGGGTCACGTTACATTTAATAAGATAGCAAACCTCTCATGCAGCCCTCAAGGTGGGTTTACTGCCAAGCAGATGGAAACAGAAGGTTACACTTAGTGCAGATCCATGCATGTGAATAGAAGACGGCACTTTTTCACACAAAGGTTAGAGTAAAGTCCTACAACAACAGACGAGCAAGCTTTCATAGTTAATGCAAGGGGAAATGTGCTATAAAATTGCAATATTCATCGAAAATAATCCCAGTTTTGATGGCTGAATGGAAATGGTCAGTATTATAGGCTGTTCCTGTGATTGCTTACTGGGGTTTAAGAGGAATTCATGTCGTTGTGTTAATGGAAAAGTCCGGTCAGTAAGGAATAATCAATGGATCATTATGTATACCTAAAACTAATATGTTCACAGTGATTTAATTAATTTAACGTTAATCAGTAAAAAAAAAAATAAGAATAATAATTTTTGTCGCAATCACTGAGTCTGTGACCGGCCATTTTGGCCCAAATATATTAACACCTCACTCCTGACATCTTCCAGCTGTGATGTCACAGTGCGGTAAGCCTAGCGCCATTCTCCTCGCTTTACAAGCAAAATCAATGGGAGCTACTAGACACATCTGCAATCAACAACAATTATTGAAGATTTCCAGAGGACTTCACCATTAAAATTCACCAGAACTATAGTTAAACTGACAATACCCACATGCATGGCAGATGGACGTTGGAATACATCAGGTAAAAGTGGAAAAAACAGTTATTTCACCTTTCTGATTCCTGATCCTCCACGGACAGGTTCGTCATTGGATTGCAAACTTGAAGAGGGAGGATTTGCCATCGAACTTCTGGCTAGAGAAAAAACCCGTCATATGTAACCAACATTTGGAATATCAATGTTTTCAAGATGACTCGGATAATAGCGCATCGTGACAGACACCAGATACAGTACTGGGACTTGATCAACAGCCGATACCGCACCGTGACGTCAAAAACCAGTAGGTGGCAGTAGTGTTCTTTGACAAACATGGATGCCTCCAGTAAAGTACATAGAAATAAAAATTACTCTTAATAAAAAAAAAAAATCATTTATAGAAATGTATGTAATAATTTCATATTTAAAGTACTTTCAGAGGTTTGAATTCTGAATATGATCGGACGTTTCCATTAATGAACCCAACCGTTCCCAGGATCGTCTGTCGTGGATTTTTTTTCCCCCCCTGAATGAGAAAGTGGACTAATGTTTGTCTTTCTTGGATCTTGTCGTCAGATATTTGTTCCTTGATGGTGAAAGCCACTTTGAGGTTGAGCTGTCCCGCATCTCAAGCATGCAGATTCTGACCGATGGAACAAGTCCAGGAGGTAAAAAAAAATTAATTAGAAAACATGAATATTTAGGTCAAAGGTTTTCTTTTTAAAACAAAATGCAGCTGTTGGAATAATTTTTGCTTCTTATTTTTCCTGCTTCTCTTCATAAAGTAACCCTTTGTTGTTTGAATGTTGTTGTAAAAGCTATTACCAAATATCTTAACTCTGAATCTTCTTCTCTGACTAACATTGCTGCTTTGACTGCGCTGATGGCTCCTTTCTACCTCTGGACTCAGAGGAAGACATTCACACTTACACCAGTCTGCTGGACAGTCACTGTATCTCTGAAGGTTGGCTTCAGCTCACTTCTTAAAGTTTCCATCAGTACTCTTTTGTTCAGAGATGTATCTGCATCTCATTTCCTGATTCTGTAGTTTGCATGAAAACAAATACGGTCTTATTCTCTTCCATCATATCTCACATTCCAACAGACATTTCATCCCTTAATGGTATTTAAAAACTTACTAGTTTTGCTGTTTTAGCTAATTGAGTTTGACCTAATTTTCATTAGTGACTAATGAAAAATAACGCATCACACAACTGGTGCAGATTTTTTGTTTTCTACAATCTATAGATTGATGTAGAACTGTAAATAAGTGGATTTCCCCTAGAGTAGATCGAACAAGTGAGATAATTTTCCAGTGAACTAAGATGATTTATGTTTAAATTAAGAAAAACCAACTCTATTTTATTTAAGTGCAAAAATACTTATTGTATTGGCATATCATCTGATTTACCTCCTAAAATTAAAACCAAATACACTTATTTTAAGATATTTAAACTTATTTATTTATCAGTTTTTGCAGTTGAAATATGATTATTTTAAAAATGGATGTTTCAACCAATAGATACTTAATTTTGAAATATATTTGGACATTAATTACTAATGGAGCTACAGTTTAATCATGAGAAGTGTGCCCTTTAGTCTCCTAAGTTTTAAACCAATTCTACCTGCTTCATCTCTTCAGCCTTTTTAATGACTTTATTCAGTTTATTATCAAAATATATTATTCAATACTTATTAAGTGTAGCTAATGGTTAATGCTTTGTTCAGACTTAGTCTTGTATTTATCAGTGCATGTTCCCTCTAAAGCCCCTGTCACACCATGACGATTTAGCCTGATGTTCCAAAATCTTGTAAAACGCTGGCATAAGATTAACTTTCTATGTATTTTTTCAATGTTGGGAGTACAGTATGCGTAGGGTATTCATTACGAGTCCAGAAATTATGTCAGACAACAGCCTAACTTATGCGTAACACAACAGCATAATGCCAATGAAGTGTCAAAAGCCAGTGTCCTGAGGGGGGCAGCAATGTGCCCAGAAGTGCCTGGCCTGAAAAGATTTTTTCTATCATGGTATTAACCTAGCTGCTGTTTACCGCCTGCCGAATAAAAAAAAAATATATATATATCAATAAAAAGAAAAAGACGGAGGGTTTGCAGTCGCAGCAGATTCAGCGTCATTTATGCATAAGGAGGATCCATCACCCTCACCTTCTCACTTATCCTATGATGGAGATGAAGTCTGAAGGAAAACTGACGGTTTCCTCCTGTGAGCCCCTTTCATACCAAAATGCTTCCAATACGGCATTATACAGTAGCTGTAAGTTAGAAACATGTTTATCGGTTGTATGGAACACGTCCAATACATTAATATACGCTGGAGATAAGTTCTTGATAATTTACGCATAAGTTATGCACAAGTTACTCATAGGTTTTGAATAAGCTGGACACCACAACGTATGTTGTAGCTTACACTTAAAGTATGTCAACGATCAGATAACTTACCTGTGACATGCCCCACATATGGCATACACTTGCATATGTTGAGAAATGAGCATGCTAAAAATTTCTCGACATACTTTCCATATATCAGTGTGTGCCAGCATGATTCAGCGGCTCATAACATACACAAAACTGACCCTTAACTTTTCCAATGTATGCCAGCTTTTTTTGCCAGATCTTTCGTACGTCAGGCATGCGCTGTCTAAATCGTCAAGGTGTAACAGAGGCTTAAGATCATTGGTTACACCTATGGTGATGTTCCTGACGGTATTTGACCCACCCGGTTTATCATTTATTGTGTTTCAGTTGAGCCAGCAAATGAAGTCCACCTGTGTGCAATGTATGCGTCACATGATCTGTCAATGTAAACACGCCTTTTCCGAGAGTCCTTAGAGGTTGACACCACCGAGGATGAGGTGGTGAATGACCTCTCCAAAAGAGTCACAGATATAAAGATCTTTGATGTTCCTCCAGAGCTCCATCATGTCAATCATCCATGGTAGCACAGGGTGCAGAAGGGACTACCTAAATGGCACTCTGTCTTATTTCAGGCAAAGGTGGAGGCTTTCCTTGCAGCAGGGCAATGCACTTTTTATTCCTTTTATAACTAGCTAGGTGTTAACCTGATTAACAAACTTGACTGGACTCACAATACTGAGGCTCTGTATAAGAACGGTAAGAGCAGACTCTTCCTGCTGAGGAGACTGAAGTCTTTTGGAGTGCAGGGGGAGCTCCTAAAGACCTGCTATGACTCTGTTATGGCATCTTCTATGGAGCTGCCTGTTGGAGCAGTGGCTTATCTGAAACTTGATCAGGAAGCCCAGCTCTGTTATTGGATGCCCTCTGGATTCGGTGCAGGATGATTGGAAACAAAAGGGTACTAACTAAGTTAACATCTCTATTGGATAATGTTTCCCACCCCATGCATGAAGCTGTTGCAGAACTGGAAAGCAGTGACAGACTGCTGCACCCTAAATGCACCAAGGAGCGTTATTACAGATCCTTCCTCCCTGCAGCTGTAAGACTTTATAACCAGCACTGTTCCCAACAAACTCAATAAGTTGTTACATTCATGCTGATTTTGCACAGTTTCTACCTTAGTCAATTAAATAACATGCTCCTGTCATATTGCACATCTTTGATGTTGCTGCTATTTTCAAATATCCATTACTGTAAAAACATCCATAGCTGCATATTAGTTATTTATTGTCCAGGTGCACAGTATTTATATTATAAGACTTTACAGTACAGTATTTAATTTGTTTATTTTTAATTCTTCACTATTTTTGTTATTCGTATAAACGTTTCTTAGGTCCACATTGGTGTGGCCATTTTTTTCTATAATCTTTTTGCTGCTGTGAACACCAGAATTTCCCCATTGTGAGACAATAAAAAGGATTTTCTATTCTATTCTAATTCCAGGTTCTAAGTCACACAGGGGAAACACCAAGGGGGTTGAATACGTTTACTGGTTACTATGTCCCGTTTAATACTGTGGAGAAAAAAAAGCTGTCTTATTTGTGGTTTCTCTTTCCCTTCCTTCTATTCATCTACATTTCATTTCTCATCTCATCCAGTTGCTGTATTTAATGTTTTTACTGTTTTGAGGATTCCATTTGTAGTCTTAGAAATCTCCTACATATGATTGTAATAAAGAGGTCTGGGACTTTTCTCTACAGTTTGGATAAAAAAAAAAATTGAACAATGTATTTCTACAGAAAAGCTATATGTTTTAAGTTTAAAAGTTGAATGTGTTTGTGTCTAGGAGGGACGTCACGTGCTAGTGGAATGCTCCTTCACTACAAACCTATGGGCTCCCTGGATGCCCAGCAACTACAAATGGAGGCAGCAGAGGACAAGAAGGTGGCCTCGTTGTGGCTTGCCGCAATGCATAAGGTACCATACAGAGCAGTGTACATACAGCCACTCCACATGGTTGGTGTATTATTGTAAATATATTTAAACAGTATTTAAAGCAGGGTTGGGTAACTCCAGGCCTCAGCAGCCAGTGTCCTGCAACTTTAAAGGAAAAGTCCGGTGTAGTATAGTATAGAATAATCAATAGATCATTATCTATACGTAAAACCTATATGTTTGCAGTGATTTAATGAATTTAGTGTTGATAAGTAAAAAAAATAAATAAGTAATTTTCGTCACAACCACTGAGTCTGGGACCAGCCATTTTTGCCCAAACATAGTAACACCTCACTCCTGACATCTTCCGGCAGTGACATCACGGTGCAATAAGCCTAGCGCCATTCTCCCCGCTTTACAAGCAAAATCAATGGGAACTACTAGACACATCTGCAATCAACAATTATTGAAGATTTCCAGAGGACTTCACCATTGAAATTCAACAGAACTATATTTATTGCTAAACTTGCAAACCGGGGTGATGATGTAATGATGATATCATCAATCTGAGGCCAACCTCATTAAATCTCTTCAGGGAAAGGAGGAACATTCAGCACAACCTTCAGAGCTCATTGAGCAAAGCGACACCTAGTGGCCGCTTACCAAAGTTTGGTTTTAGCCAATAAAATGAAATGGCTGCAGACACCATGAGAAACATGGAATCAGATGTGATTGCAGCGGCCATAAGTACGCCCTCCTTTGCTACCATGTTTATTATGGCTGTATGTCCTCCCTTAAACACAGTACTGCAGCTTTATTAGCTGGCTCATTTTTTGCTCGGTCTGCAACGGTGAAAGTGGGACAAGATGGTTTCTTGTGTGTTTGTGAAAAGACGTATATGGCAAGGACTAATTTTGTAGGGAAGGTTGCTGGTCTGGATGCATGAGTTTATAATCATGTTTCTTTAGTGGCCTGGAGCGCCGCCATTGAGGAAAGCTAGCTTGCGTCTTCTCTTATTTTGCTGTCTTTGCCATTTGTTGCATTTTTACTTTGCATGTGTTTTATATGTTGGTTCAGATTTCTATACTGGCTACACTTGAATGTATTTGTAGTGTGTTTTCACTCCTCAGCCATCATACTATTAACCTTTACTGCTTCGTGATTCGCTGTCAGCCTAACAAACATTAGATCAATTTCAGGTATTCTTTTTATTTTCATTAAAACTTTTACCGGAAGCTTTTATAGATGCACTTTGTGAATCTGGATGATAATGTCACATTTTTAATTAAAATGCTTAAGAATAAGAAATTTATGACACAGATATTGCAGAAAGATGTTGGACAAATAAGGAGTGACCAACTGTGATCAAACATGTGCTTCTACTGATGTCCGTCATCACAGGAGTGGAGGAGTGGAGTTTTTAGAAAGCATAAGAAATTTAAATAGTAAATATTTCTTCTTTGTTACAGGCGGCCAAACTGCTGCATGAAGCTCGGGACCAGTGACGCCCCGCGCTGAACGTCAAAGCAACGAGCACCCAAGTGTTTTAAAGCTGACTTGGATTTAGATCGGATTTGGTTTCATTCAGATTTTACTATCAGTTCTGATTTGATTCATCCATCTGATTTTTCTCATCGGTTCTTTGTACCAGTACTTATCTAAGTAATTTTTCTCAAGAAATCTTTCTTAAAGGAAAAAAATAGCACTTCACTTACCTCTATAACCAGTGCTCTTTACATCTGTAGGTTTACTGTGTATTTTCTAAAGGTTCAAGACTCCTTTTGGATTCTGTTCACTAATTTGAGCATTTACTAAAAATGCTTTTTAAATACTAGCAAAACTTGCTAACTTTGAAGGATTTAATACTAAGACCTCAGTTTTTTTTTAAGAAAGATATAGAAACTGTTTCTTAATTTAGTTCAGAGATATTGAATGCTTCTATTTCTTATTTTTATTTCAGACGAGCAAGGATTATACAACCAAGTATTTTTTTTTAAAGATTATCTTTCGGTTCCAGGCTTATAAGCACATTAAACTATGGATGCACCTTAACAATTGTTGCACAGGTTAAAAAGAAAACAGTTAAATGTATTTCTTGGCATCAAGAAGCTTGTGGACTGAAATCTTGGCAAACCCTAAGAAAACAGTCCTAACTGCCCATCATTTTGGTTTAATTATGCCGAGTTATTTTTATTATTTTCTGTGTTGTTTTCTGATATCCTTTTAAATTACCAGTGTATTAATCAGTGTTTTGGTTTGTTTTGAATCTTTACTCTGTAGCAAACTTCCACCCTTAACACTTTATGTTGACCCGGAGGTGTGTTGTGTTAGAGAGTTGGTGGTCAGGGCCAGAGAGTATCCCTTACTGGTTTCCAACATCTGGTTCCCTGCTTGGTGGGGATGGGGAGAAACTGTTCTAACTTTGCAAGTAGAAAATCTCACTTTGGGGTTTTGAAGGAGATAAGACAAGTGCTGAGAAGTAAAAACTAATAGTGAGCAAACAAATGTTGAAACGTGTTGTCCGTTAGCTGCAAGGTGCATACTCAACAAACTGTTTAAGAATGTCTTGTAGGGGTCAGTGAGAAGCAGCCAAAAAGGAGTGTAAACTGCTTTAGCCTGGTAGAAAAAGGTATTTTTATAATAAGGAGATTTTCTGGATAAGATTAAATCCAGAAAAGGAATCAGAGCATCACAACTTTGTCTGGTTTCCCGTAGACGGATGTTACTTTGTGTTTTTATTTTTTTTTCAATTTATGAAAATAATGTTTGACTAATATGTACTCATATCTGCAACAGTTTCTTAGTGACCAAAGTGATGTATAAACAAATAGTTTAATTATAATTTTATTGGTTATTCCTGCTTTAATTTTGAGCCTGACCATCATTGTGTTTTACCTGGTTTGGACCCAGTTATTTGTTTTGCTGTAACTTCACAAATCTTATTTCAATTTGTTGTGTGAAACCATCCGCCTTTCATACTTTAGTTCTGTATTGTAAAAGACACTGACACAAAACATCTGAAAATGGACCTACCATGATTCATTTCATTTGAGGGCAAAGATTCACTCAAAAAACAATATTTTGAAATGGTGCATTAATGAATATGTATTAAGGAAAAGTGAAAAAATTCATGTTGAAAAAGCATGGATTCATAACAAAATCTAGAAGAGTTCTGTAAATGAACACTACATTGAGACTGTCAACTAGTAACTAGCATCTGCAGCATCTTTTTGAAATTAATCTTTTCGTCCCATTATATAATATATATATTATATACCTTACCTTTTATATATATATATATATTTTTTTTTTCAATTCAGTTTATTCATATAGCGCCAATTCACAACACATCTCAGGGCACTTTACAATTCACCTGACCATACATTCAAATTGATTCAAAGTTCTAAGGAAAACCAGTTGATTGCATTGACTCAAAGGCAATCCCTAACACTTGTAGCGACAGTGGAGAGGAAGAACTCCCTTTTAACAGGAAGAAACCTCCAGCAGAACCAGGCTCAGTGTGAGCGGCCATCTGCCGAGGCCGACTGGGGTCAAGGAGACAGAAGCAGAGATTCTTAACGCAACTTTCAACCAGCTGCCCAGGCGGCCCTCGTCCAAAATGTGTTTTTCCGAGGGCTTGAAGTTAATCCATCAAAATTACAACCCTGGTCCGCCTCAAAAGGTCTTTACAAAGAAGAGCCCAACAACCTGTAACCATAATAAAAATGTTGGGGATATATTGGAGCATAGTTATCTGTATTCCCAGCTGCCTGCCCTGGAAGCACACATGGAGTGAAGGGCATGAAATGGGGCTCATGGTTGCATCCTTTTTGGCAGAACTGATTTGAAAAAAATTCTTTTATTTTTTTGTACATTCAGTATCTCATTTTCTGTGTCTGTAGATCAGCTTTGTTACATCTTCCTGAACTTGCTCTGAAGTGGTCCTTTTGTTTACCACAGTACACCAATAAAACTGCACACATCTAATCCATATCAAATAGAAACACCAATCAGATTTCTAATCTGGATTTTTTTTTTTTTCTTTTTTGTAGATTCCAATTATTCTTTAAAAATTGTCAACATTTCTCAGTTTCATTGCTGAAAAGATTAATACTTTTATAAGTGCACAATGTTTCCAATACTAGAGTTTGTTGCTATAATGGTTTTGACTCAATGATTCTTATAGGTGAATAGGTATGTCTTTTATTCATTACAGCACAAAGTTGGTTTGCAAAATGTTAACTGGATTCTGCCTTTGTCTCGTGGCCTAAAAACAGTTCACCAGCTTTCTTAGTCACTTTGATTTGATTTTTATTTTCTTCTGAGCAATAAAATTAGTTGTACCATTGAGAGGCAGGATATTTTCCTCCGTTGTAAAGTCTTCCCTTGAGTTCACAGTCCTATAAAGTTGTGAAGTAATTAAAGGAAGCTGTTGAAATATCCCTATTATGGTCTTACTAGCTGTAAGATGCAGTCTCTCCATCTAAAAAATGGTTATAAGGAATAAACTGTACTGAAATAAATGTAGTTACAGACACAGCAGTCTCTGGATTATGATCCATGATGTATTTTAAAACATGTTAAGCATTTTAATATAAACTGCCAGTGTATCTGTATTTGATTTATAGTGCACTAAGTACACTGCCTGTTTTATTATGTTTTTTGCTGATAATTTCACCTCTTGTTGGCCTTTTCTGTTCAGAATAAAATAAAGTTTTTCTACATACTATAAATGTTTTTGTCAATGTGTCAATGGAAAAGAGGAAAGAACATTGCTGTAGTGTAACTTGGACAACATTTATTGTCATTATGCATAATCAGAGTGTATACAAAACAAAATTTCATTTTGTACAGCTCTCATTACATTTCAATTTCTTAAAGTGCAGGACTGATCAGATGTAAACATTGTGGGAGAAAAAACACAGTGCAAAAGAATGCATTAATATGGACAGTTTGATACAGAGTCTGCGACATTATTTTGAACATTCAGCTGTCTGATGGTGATTGGGAAGAAGCTGTAATATTGGCAGATCAAGACAAGTTTGATTAAAATGTAGGGATGTTTTAGTTAGATTTAAACAAAAACAATAATCATTCAGATGTCAGTGTGCCCCACAACAGCTGTGGCTACACTTTAGCTCTTAACCAGTGGTGTATGACTGTGTGTGTGAGCTGCTGAATGTAGTGCTGGGGAGATTTACCAATATGCATTCCTAGGCAGTTGCCTAGAGCCCCAAGTTCCTGGGGGCCCTATAAAACTCTGTTTAAATATGTGGTTATTATAACTATTCTTTATTTGTGCACATTAATTATGTTTTTGATAAAAATTATTTCACTAAAATGCCATTAAAACCACATTGGATCAGTCCATTTGCTGCACATGTTCAGAAAATCCAAACAAGCAGCAAAACATGTGAACACAATGCGAAGAGCACACTTAGTGCTTTTGTCGCTATATTTGGTGACTTTTCAGACCCCTTTAGCAATTCTAGTGCCAAATCTAACGACTTTTTTCTGCTACTGGAGACTTTGGCGACAACCTATAAAAGTAGCGAACTCTGCTCTCCCGAGCAAGTAGATTTGTAACCCCCCCTCCTACTCTCCTGTCTTGTCTGCTGTCATGATTCATGCAGCTGTTATTTTATCCAAATAAAAAATGGAGAACAGATAAACAGATCATGGCTTGTCTGCAGTGAAAAGAAGGACTGTGTTATTTACTTTTGCCGTCGCCTTTTTGGAAACACAGGAAGGAGCAATCAGCTAAGTGAGCTTGGTGCTTGGAAAAAATATTAGATTCCTTTTGAGAAAAAATGAAAAGTCAGCTGAATACAAAATATAGAGAAGAAAACAAGAAAAAGGGAATAGAAGAGAGGGGCAAAACGTAGAACAAATAATGGATGTCTATATTCTAATACAATTTCTGTATCTTTATAATGGGTCTGTTTTATGTGTACTTCTTCTTCTTCTTCTTTCTTTTCTTCTCAATTCATAGGGCCCCTTGCCTGTCTTTGCCTAGGGCCCCAAATTTTCTAAATCCGCCCCTGATGTAGTGTAAAGGAATTTGGGTTTTCTTTAAAGCTCTATAAAAGCACAGGCCATTTACCAGGAACATTCCAGATAAAACTAAATTCAACTAATCCTACAGGCTAGATTAGTTTTTACATTCTGAGAGATTTGGAGAAAGATGTTTGGAAACAATGTATGGAAGAATGGAAATATTGCAAAATAACCAATAAACCCCTCCCAAAAACAAGACTACAAAATGTGAAGGTGTTGCAAACTTACATAAATCTATCTGGAAGATTAGTAAAGTTAGAGTAAATAATTAATAATAGATGTATGATTAATTTGATTTTTTTATTTAAATATACCGGGTTATTTAAAGTGATGAAGGAAGTTGGAATGTGCCAAAACAGTATAGGGATAACTGTGATTAACCTATATATATATTTTTTGTACTAACACCATCATTTCCTAAAACTTTTTAAATAACATGCTGCTTGTAATATTGAGGCAATAATTTATAAATTTAATAAAGCCCTGTTGTTATTGCAGCAGTTATTTACTGTAGCCCACACAGCCCCCCCTCTCTCATCAGTTGGTATCGCCCGAACTCCCAGGGCATCGGACACACGTGGTTGCTGTTATGTTGGGGATTGCGCCGGTATTTCAGTATTTCAGCCTTTAAGTGAAGTGTCATCGCTCGGATATCTTCACATGCGATTCAAGCTGCTATAAGAAAGTGTGAAAGTCAATTTTAGACTTTCAGAGTTTAGGTTTCACGGAGTCTGACGTCGTCCTGGCGTGACGTTACGCTGCTCGTCTCGGACACCAGCGGGCTGAAGCTGAAGGTATGGAAACACCGTGGCTGTTAGGGCTCACACAGCTTCATGGAGTTACACCGTTTACCGATGTTCAGCTTTCTGCGCCTCTTTAGCCTCCCCCACCCAGCTGTCACCGGCTCCCGTTAACTCCTCGCTGATTCGTAACGACCACCCAAACACAAAGCAAACTAAGAAAAACATCTAAATAACATCTGTTTTCATCCAACCATCCTCTCCAGGGTGGTTTGTTGGCCGGTAGAAGCGAGGGAGGGGGATGAAGGTCTGTGCCACGTCACTGATGATGAAGACTGAGGGGTGTCCTGTCCCTGCCGAGTCACTCCTTTCTCTCTGTAGCATCATAATATGCTGGAAACCGTTAATCTAATCGGAATAAAGAAAGATTAGACCCTTATAATGTAAATCACTTGCTCAGACATGTGAAGGTTTTGCCAAAAACTGATCATCTCCACTCTTACAGGTTAAACTTTGGACAGTAAAACAATAATAATCCAAAAAAAAAAGAGCCTAAAATCTGTCTGTGAAAGACTTTTGTTTTCAGGTTTGTCTACCTTGAAGTCCAACAGCTGTAGAGGCTGCTGATCACTTTTTGGCAGAGCATCCCTTAAAGGTACAACACCAGCCCCAGTATGGGGCGGATTTAGGACATTTGGGGCCCTAGGCAAAGACGGATAGGAGGCCCCCTGAATTGAGAACACATAAAACAGACAAGGGCGGATCTAGATGGGATCCAGGGGTGGCCATGGCCACCCTTAACCATTCATTGGCCACCCCTACCATTGCTTTCCGCGTAATAATCAAGTGGAATATTTAAAAAAAAATTTTTTTTCATATATTCACAATTGTTTGACAACAAAAACGCTGTAGTTAATTCTGCACATCAATATACTAACTTTAAAGGTGGTAAGTACTGATTTCATGCTCTTTTCAGAACAAGATTTTGTGTTTTATGGGCTAAAGAGAAAATATGTCATCTAGGAGTCTTTAGTGAAATCATAGATAAATAACTGTTTTTAATAAAAACGTATTAAATAATCAATTTATGTAGATATTAGTACTTGTAAATATCAATTTTATGCTGGATGATTATTGATAAAAGTAGGTAAATAATGACAATGTGGAAAAGATTTTATCCACTTCACCTTTTACCTAAAAAGCATGAATGTTTAAATATATGCATCTATTTGTTAGCAAAGGCTGTAGGAAAGTATAATTGGTCTTTATTCAGAAAATATGGATGTTTTGCTCGTTCATTTTCCTGTTGGAAAAGTAGAGATTGACCCTGAGTTTTTTAATGTATTTTTATTATTTAAACTTTATTTAACCAGGAACTGATCCCATTGAGATTAAAAACCTCTTTTTCAATGGAGTCCTGGCCAAGAGGCATCAAAGTTACATCAGAAACATAGATGCATTAAAATAAATGACAGGTGCATAAAAACATATCAATTAAAAGAGTTACAGATCATTGAGGCTGCTTCAAATTCTTTCACTTTCAACTTAAAAGCATTTAAAGATAAAAACTCAGTCAATTGGTTCTGCTGCCTATCCATTTCAGCCACCTCTCACTGTACACTGGTTATTGCCTGGCCACCATTATTAAAAAATTCTGGGTATGCCCCTGAAAACAGACCTATTATACAGACAAAGAACTGTTTATAGAATAGACAGACATAATTTGTTCTGCGTTTTGTCTCTCTCCTCTTATCCCTTGTTGTTTTCCTCTATGTTCTTTTGTCCTTTTTTTCTTTTCATATTAGCAATATTTACAGCTGGCATTTTTCATGCTGTCTTAAAAGGAATCAAAGTTTTTTTTTTCAATCACTAAGCCTATTCTAACTTAGCTGATTGCTCCTTCCTGTGTTTCCAAAAAGGCGACGGCAAAAGTAAATAACCCAGTCCTTCTTTTCACTGTAGACAAGCCATGATCTGCTGATCTGTTCTCCATTTTTAATTTGTATGAAATAACAGCTGCATGATTCATGACAGCAGACAAGATAGAGGAGAGCAGGAGGCGGGGTTACCAATATACTTGCTCTGGAGAGCAGAGTTCACTGCTTCTATATGTTGTCGCCAAGTCTCCAGTAGCAGAAAAAAGTTGCTAGATTTGGCGATAGGCGCTTTTTGGTTCTAGAGGGGTCTGAAAAGTCGACAAAAGCACTAAGTTTGCTTGGTTTGCTGCTGTTTGTTTAGACCTTTCTAAACATGTGCAGCAAATGGACTGATCCAATGTGGTGGACACTGAAGGGGGGGTGAGATGCACTTAATATTATAAGTGTTCTGATGGCATTTTAGTGAAAGGATTTTTATCAAAACCATAATGTGCACAAATAAGGAATAGTTGTATTAACCATACATGTAAAAGGAGTTTTATGGGACCCCTTACCAGTTACAGAGCTATCACCCTAGCATTAAGAGTGACTATAATGTGAAAATAAGTATATCACTAAAGGGAAACCTCTGATACAGCTTTGTCTTTGTCTAAGGATTACCTTTTGGAAATATGGTTTAGATATTTTCCCCAACTGCAGGTTTTGACACAATCTAGGGATCAACCCAAGTAAAGATGAGAATCTTATACATTTCATTTCCAATCCTGCTTGGGGTGTGGTTATTGTCAAAGTTGTGGTTTTATGGAAGTACACTGTACATTTGATTATCTGGCTTTAAGTTTGCAGACTGCAGAGCGAAGGTGTTTAAACAGGGCAGCTGTCTCTGTTTTTAACTTGCATTAGCATTGAAAGGTTCTTTAAGATTTTTAATGGTGGAATTTGCCTTTGAATCGGGGAATAAAAGGATAAAACAATCTGAAAGCATCATAAATTTGTATACGTTGATACATGATTTTTTTTCAATAATCAGAGACTGTTCCAGCATGAGTGGAGATTTCTTGCTCGATGCAGTATACAGTAACTCATCAGCCCCCCTCCCCCACTTGTTGTAGCTCACCTTTGGCCAGCTTGTTTAAAAAAAAAAAAAAAAAGAAAACCCCTCAAAAAAAATTAAAATTAAAAAAAAAAGAGAGAATCAACTCTGGAAACCACCAATCACTGTAATGAGGCTATGCTGCCCTAATAAAAAGCTCCAAATCCAAACCTAGCTTGATGTTAGTAAATGATGGCGTTCTAGTTTTTGTGTTGCTAGTAAAGTTAACCTGGCCTTTTTTTCTGAAGTTCAACATACCCAGAAAATCTCTATACTGGTGAAAATCTGCAGAGGCAGTAGAAAATATTCATCATTCTTTTCATCTCTTACTCAGACACCCACAGGCTAAGCTTTGAGCCCTAAGGGGTTTCTGTCACACACCAACATATTTCTTATTTTATTGACGTATTCTGAGATTCTGTTTTGATTTGTGAAAATAAATCAAAATTTTTGGTCTAGTTGTTGCTTTTGTCAGCATTAATAAACCTTCATACTGGAAATATTTCTGGCTTTTTTTTTTTTTTTTTTTTTTTTTACAAATCCTAAAATGAATTCCAAAATGATAAAAAAAAGGCTACTTTCAAATAAAATTGGAAATTCTCACATTGAGTGTTTAGATTTAAATATTTAAATAATAGATTAAATTCAGGAAGAGTTTTCAAAATGTAAATATTATGCATGTATATTAGAAATTGGCTCTTGGGGATGGCTGGAGAAATGAAAAGACAGGAAATTTCTCTTTTTAAAAAAATATTTTTATTGGGTATTTTGAACATTTATACAGAAAAGAAACAGGACAAAACCTATACAGCTCTGATACAGGAAACGAAACTGGAGGCATGTGCATAAATTAAAGCAAACATTTGAGAAAAGTCACCAATTTATACAAAAACTTGTACATATAGATCCTTCTGATTCACATTACTCTTCTTTTAATTTTGAAGTATTTGAAAGTGTAGAATTTCCAATTCAGACGGTATCTTAATCTCTCTAAAACAATAACTTTTAGAAAGTAAGTTTTCCATAGCTGGACTGAAGGGGCTTCACAGCTAACCCATTTAAGCATTACCGATTTTTCTGGCCAACATCGATAGGAATTGCACAGACGACTGGCTAAATTTCTGCATTTTAAAAAACTAAACTGGACATTCTCATGTTTTTTTTGTTTTTCAGCTTTTGTGGTTTGCAGAGCCAAACCATGAGCTCTAAGGTGTGTAAGCACTGCGGCAGCTCGGACATCGATGTTGACCAGGCGAGGGGCGATGCGGTCTGCATGGGCTGCGGCTCCGTGCTGGAAGACAACATTATTGTGTCTGAGGTGGAGTTTGTGGAGTCGGGCGGGGGCTCTCTGGCTGTCGGACAGTTTGTGTCTTCAGAAGGTGAGAGTGATTCCGAAATCACAGGACAATGTCGGTTTCTGCATGCCTTCCCGCAGCTTTGTTGGAAATCCTTGCTTTGTTTTATACAGCTCAGCCTTGATCGTATCTGCAAACATTATCAAGAGGACTATTTCATGCAAGCAACTAAAACCATCAAAAAAAAGCTTAAGTGTGCTACTAAGATGATTAAAAGCTCTTAAAGGAGCACTGGAGCATAAAGGTTAAATTGCTAACCAGAGAAAAGAGCAAGAAAAACTTGAATATAATTGTAGCCGTGTTTCCAATGATCATCAAATTGTGTATTTTGACATTAGGAAAAAAAAAAACATTTGACAAAATTTTTGCGCTGGGACAATGTGGTTTTTCAGCTTTATCAAAAGATGAAAATCATAACAGAAAGTAATAGGTAATTTATCCTGTAAACAAACTTATTCACTTTTGATTTTATTTTTTATAACTGTTCTGCATACAGGCTAATTTCGTTACCTCCACTCTTACTGCCAGTATCTTCAGACATCATTACTGTGGCGACGGTGATGCTTTGATATCTCCAGTTGTAGCCACAGGCCCTTTAAACGCTACCGCACACTAAGGACCATTGCAGCTGCCAGATCTGCTCGGGTCCTGCGGATGCCAGTGACCTTGCGCTACATGATTGGCTGAACGTTGCCACATGATGAAGAGCTCAGTCTTAGAACGCAGTACTTTCCTTCAAGACTGACAATGATTGTTTTCTACTTTAGATCGCCAATGAAGTATAAAATAAAAGCAAATATAAGTTATAATATGTTGAGACTCCAAAAGAGATTTTATCCTTAAGCTACAGGTGCAATACAGTTTGTCTGAGTGGAGTTGCCATATGTTGACGTCATAAGAAGGGGCGGGGCCTCGAGCAGATCTGGTACCAGCACTGTCACAAAGAGCATATAGGTAGAGAGAGTGGACATTTCAACCCTTAAATAGCAAGTCTCCAGCAATAGTTTGCTGTTTGTTTGTCAAATGTACAGAAGATCATAAATGAGGAAAAAGGGGAAAAAAGATGTAATTAATTCCAATTAATCCCATTTTTATTGGACTATATAAATGTATCTTTAAAAAAAAATTGGCCAAAGTGGATTTCATATCAACACTAAAGTTTTTCATGTGTTTTGGAAAATGACGGACCTGACGGATTTATGGAATCACTAACGCCCCATTTAAAGTAGGGTAGAGGGGGATGGTTGGATCAGAATTTACATTTTTATCAATTTCTCATGGGTTATGAAATGATTTGTAAAAATGAAACTAATACCTCGCAAGTTGCAAGATGTGGAAGCTTAATATAAAGCAAGCAGCATGAGGTTGAAAGGAGTTTGTTAAATATTTCAACCGTCTGTTGCGACGGTGATCTTTGCAACCTGCGCCACAGAGCTGCAGCCAGGCATGGGTGTTTCTGTGTTGCCATGGCAACGACTGCTTGGGCTAGGCCCTAGAATGAGGAGCAAGGTTTTGTTTTTTGTATGCCCTCTATTGTTGCGTTTTTTTTTTTTTTTTTTTTTTATCATATACTAATGCTGTCATGTTACTGAGTTGTATTTAGCCAAGTAGTCCTGATGGAAAAGTGCCATCCTAGATTGTCATGTAACCAAAAATCCACCCTTGTGGTTAGAAAAGGGAGGTTGATTAATTAATCAATTAGGTTTTGTCTATTGAAGTGTTGTACATCATATATGGTGTCCATTAAACAAAAATCACAGCCAAAGGCAAACATTTACAAAAGCCGTGTTGCAAAACAAATTTGCATTAAAGAGAATATAAAGCTCTCTGAACCGTTTATTAAATGAAGCAGCCTGCAGTAAATAAACTGCCAGAAAGCAGAAAGCAGAAACCAGACTCAGGGCTTCCAGCGGTTTTCCAAAGTTTCCTTCCTTCCGAGGTTGGCTGAATTCAATAACTTGTTTCCCTTTTAAACAATTATCATGAATGGCATTTCTAACAAGCTGTTGTTGCTTGCTGTTGGTGTGGGAAACTGTCTTTGTCATTTGCATTTTTTATTATTCATATTATATTTTTTAATGAAAAATATTTCCCATTGGTGTAAATAATAATAATTTATTTAAGTTGCCAGAATCTTATTTGATGGGGCAGTAGAGTAGAATAATGGATGGACAGGGGTGCTGGCCCAAAAAATTTGGAATTAACCAGTGTAGGCTTAAGCTACCATAAAATTATTTCTGGGACAAGTGTTAATCTTTTTTTTAATAATAACGATTAGCACTTATCAATTAAAAAAATTCTGTTCCCTTTTCATGCATGTAGTTGAGCAATTCCAGCACTAGATGGTGCTGTAGCATCACAATGTCAGGTTCTTGGGTTTGAATATTAGATTATCCAAGAATAAAAGAAGCTTCATTGTTTTTATTCAATACTAGTTTAATCGTGTGAATGTTTACTGGATTACATGACAAGACAAAAATAGATGAGGGGAAAAAAAAAGAAAAAGTAGAGTAGTTCTGCAGTTTGGACTTATTTTTTTCTCACATATTCTTTATCTTCATTTAGGTGGAAATAAGAATCCATCTTTTGGGGATGGATACTTCCCGGGTACTGGATCTGAGTCCAGAGCTCAAACACTGCAGAGAGGTGAGTGACCAGCTGTTTGTGAGAGATAATCATCTGAAGTCACTCCATGTTTCTGTGGTTTTAACTTTTTATTTAGAAGTTAAACTATTCTCTGGAATCTTCTGTGACTGATGAGAGATTGTGACCATTTCTCAATATGTGTACTTGTGCGTTCTCATGTACTTATGCACTCCAAAAACGTCATCAGCCTCAGCCCTAGTACTGTTCCAATTCACAAGAATAAGAAGACCGAGAGCGGACAAAGTCCCCAGATGTTGTTCTCGCCCCTCCCTTTTGCAGAGTATGCATCAGAGCAGACTTGTCTGTTCTAGAGATTGACAGCTTCCAGGGGAGCGCTCACAGAGCTCAGAGTATAAAGTTAAAAGTTCTCTTTTCTGTTGTCATTGTTCTATAAAAGCATGTTTTTGGATCATTTGAAGAGAGAACATACTTTTAAGTGTTACTATATGGTCCATTTACTGATTTTATTGCGTATTATTCCCCCACTAAATGGAAAAAGTAAGAATTTATTATTATCTAGAGCAGAGGTCACTGATTAGCGGACCGCGGTCCGGATCCGGACC